AATCATTTATTATCAATAGTCATCCTAGCTCCAGCCCAGATGTTGGCCAGCCACTGCCTCGTCCCAGAACTGGTGCTCTGTGCCCAATAAGATAAAAAAAAGATGTATCGCTTAATATGACCGTCATTCAGATGCACTTTTGGAATACATGGTGTGATTCTCTAAACCAGGGGTAACCAATTAAAAATCAGTGTTGTCCGAAAATAAAGAAAATCATCAACCAGTAAAGGTCCAGAGACATTTTTAATTGTAATATGTTACTTTAAACAGAATTTAACAATGAAATACATTTTTTCTGCATCCCTGTAATACATTGAATTTTTAAATAAAAAAGGAAAAAGGAAATCAAAGTTTTTCCATTTTAAATGTTTTTTTTCTAAGCAGAGAACTACAATAATTTAGTTTGGTATATAGACAATTTCCTGATTCACAAATTTTATAAAACACCTGAACTGACATCTGTTTTTTTGTTCTTTCTTTTTTATGGCTTAATGAGAGAAATGGGCTTTACGCTGCCCTGCAAGGCTTTTAATCCTGGGTATGAATGGTGACAAAGCCATTCTCAAGCACATATCAAGGTGCTCATTTGTGAGCTTGGATCAATATTTATTTTTGATTCTGTTCATGGAATAGAGAATCCCTTTTCACAGCAGTAGGTTGAGCCAAACATACTCAAAATGTGCAGGGTCATCTTTGAGCACACCATTGCACTTTTCTTTCACTAGTTAACTGTGCTTCTTCCTATTTCAAATGACAGGGCCTGATCATAAATATATATATATAGTTTTACTTTATTACTTGAGACAAATATTTCAAATCCAAATGAACTGACTTACTAATCAGCTTATTTTTCAAAGACTCTGGTCCAAAATAAATTCAGTTTATTTATATAGTGCCAATTCACAACAGGTCATCTACAGAGACAATTCAATCATATAATTTAATTAGATTGGTTCAAAGTTTCCTATCTAAGGAAAACCTTCTGATTGCAACGACTCATTGACTTGAAAGCAATCCCTCATATCAAACATGCTTCAAATGAGAGTGGAAAGGAAAACTTCCCTTTAACAGGAAAAAACCTTCAGCAAAACCAGGCTCAATGTGTAAGCAGCCATCTGCCAAATTTGTACACATAAAACAGTTCAAAGGAGTTCTTAAGGTAGAGTCTGATAATGTTCAGTAGCTCATCTTTTGATTAGCAGTAGAAATTTTAAATATATTCTAACAGATGTATGACAATTGTCTTTGGTAACAGTCAAATCAATCAGGTTGCACTTTATCTCATAATGAGCAATTACCAATAAACATATTGTCTATGATGTCACACCATTGAGATCAGATGCACCAAGCTCAGTAGGGGTTTGTCCATGAAGCTCCAAGTTCAGGAAGCATCACAGACTCAATGGTCTTTTGGGTCAGGACCACTCACAGCGCAGAACATAAAAAGGACACTTTTCAGACACTTTGACGCCTGACCAGGGCGACAAGCTGGAAGTTATTTGTTAAATCATCAGGCAGAGATTAAAAAAAAAAAAAAAAAAAAAAAACCTCCTCATCCATTGTTTTAACGGGCATCAGGCACTAGCGATGCTGTGGTGGGATTTCAGCTCAGAGCTTTCAAAAAAGATAAAGTTGTTTTTGCCGGAAAAAATGGACTAAGGTTCCAGGAATTGCACCATGTGTACAGTGATGACCAGCTGGATTGTTGGGCTTCTCCAAGATCTTTTCTCTTTCGATCTAAACGAGCCATGGGAGAGTGTGCAGGATGTCACATCAGACGGGCAGACCGTCACATTAGACACAGATCCAGAATCTGATGCTCTCTGATATGGAGGTTGTAATCCTGAACCTGGAATTTATTAGTTCCGGGTTCAGGAAGTTTTATTTAACACTAATGTTTTTTAGTTTTTGGTAAAGTCAGCCTTACCATGGTAAGGGATTTCAAACAGCTAGTGTTTTTATATCCTCATGTTTTCTAGGCTAAATCTTGTGTTGAATTTGCTTTAACTTAATCTAGGATTCTATCTGGAACAAAAAAGAGAATATAGTTCCCATGGTCAAAGTTCAAACCTTGATTGAGAGTACGGTAGTTAGAAAGTAGTTCGTGAAACTCTCACCAATGAAAAATTTTGTTAATAAAATCTTTGACTCCTGAAAACTCACCTCAAGTCTCTAAACACGGAGAAGCTTATAGAGTGACAAAGTTGTCATTCATATAGCAGCTGAAGTTCCCTGTATTTTCTGTAATCTGTTGCAGTCTATGTTCAGGGAAGTAAAGCTGGGCTGACTTCACCCAGTGTGGGATTTCACAGCTCTCAGCTATGTTTGATAAAGATTAATTCAATCCTATTTTCTGCTCTGAAATGCTTTTTCCTAATAATATTCTGTCTGAGTCAGAACCCCCCCATCCCCCCTCCCATTCTCTCCCTCTCTCATTGAGAAAGTATCCTACTCCTGAGAAACACTAAGCACCTTATCCATTTTGGGACTAACTAAAGCAGCAGGAAGGGAAAATGGTTGTAATGTGTTGTTACTCTTTATCATAGATTCATCTCCGGTTTATACAGTTCGTATATTGTGTGACTGTTTAAATCCGTGAGTTGGTATGTCGCTATGAAAAAAAACTTGGTGAATGTTCTGTTTGTATGTTTGCTGTATTTCACCCTATATATATGTTTATGAAATTGGAAGCCAGTGTACAAATGTTTCACCTTTCTAAATCCATAGAATAAGCAGAGGGAAAACATATGTTGTTTAATACAATAGAATAAAGTTTCAGCTGCTTAGTGTTTCCCATTTTAATGAACAATCAATTCTGCCAGCAAGATTAAAAATTGATCAATTACATATAAGCATGTATTTCTCCTTTTTAACTGCTGTACTTTATACCTGAATTTTTACTTTTGTGTTTTATTTAAATAAGTCATTATTTACTGGAATGCTGTGGTTATATTCAATGTCATAATATGCTATGCAGCAACTGTACTGTACATTTGATGCCCACCCCAGTAGAGTTGGCAAATATATTATTTAATCAAATGACTTTTGGACTATCATACTAAACATTGTTATAGAATATCGCATATCCAACTGGCTGTGTGTTAGGACAACAGAAGAATGGAGGATTCCCATCCACCCTGCATGGTGGAGAGGTTTTAAAAAGGCTTTGTTGAAAAATATAACATGTTTCTGGCACAATCAAATGCATTTTTAGCTCAGGAACTTCCTATTTTGGAGCTTGAGCAACATCTGTTCAAGCTCCACATCTGCCTGATTGTGGAAAGTTGTGGCACCTCTCATGGTTGGTGGGATAAATACATGTGTGTTTATTTCTGTGTAAGCAGAGACCATGAGCCCAGCTTTTTTTAGTTTAGTGTTGTTACAGTGACCTCTGCTGCCACAGATTTAATGACTCCAAGTATCCTTACTCCTTTTACAACCCTCAGTGAGAGACCGGTGTACCATTCCACAAAAGCTCTAGATGAATGTTTTTCTAAATTTGGTTTGTGTTTGAATCCACATAGATAGTTGAGTGTTTTGTACAGTATCTATTCACTTGATGTTTGTTTATCTTTTCATACAGTATGTTTATTATTTAATTTAGATTCTATGTAAGGGTGTGGCAATTTTGAAAATGATGCAATATTACACTTGGCATCTTTATCTGGAAAGTGAATAGTACAGTGTGTTCATACCATACTGTGTTTAACCACCAATTTTCTTGCCATTTATCATTGCCAAATTCAAAGGGCTGGAGATCTCTGCCTCTTCATAGCTTCTCCATAGACTCCATCAGGGTCCCTTTAGATGCTTTTCTTGTTAAATAGTCTTGTATAATGGGTTTACAGTTGTGCCATAATCTAGTTATTTTTTGGCTGATTGCCTTACAAACTAACCCTGCTTTAAATGTCAAAACTTCTTTATCCCTCACCTTTCTACTATTTTCATGGGTCTCGATTGTGTCCCCTTTGATCACTAACATTCTCCAGAGAGCAATCTCAGATTAAATCATTAATAATGAATTCCATTTTTGATGGGTCGACCAATGAAAGTACTTGCCTTTTTTTTAGGGATACTAGAAAAAAAGGCAAATACAGTATATCAATATACCATAAACGTCATATTCATCTTTGAGTAACATCTATTTAGTACTAAAAAAGGAATTTAGCAGGTTCATTAGAATGACTTTGGGGTGCAGAGTTGTCTTTAGGCAGAACAACCTCCAAGTGTGCTCAACATATTTTGCTCTCCCCTTCCAAATGATTAGAAGGATGCTTGCATTTTAATGGGATCTATAGCCACAAATTCTGGTTTTGACTTGGACCCACCCATTCTGTGTCACACATTCACTGCTTACACTCCATATAGATAACCACAGACCCCTTCATCCTCTACTTGGATGTGAATATCTTCTTACCTCAGGGACTGGTAGATGAGCAACTCTGAGATGTTGATTACTTTGATACTAAGCAGTTAAGTTTCAGTGTGCAGCTGTTCTTGTGTGTATGTATGTGGGCTCTCAGCATGTTAAAAAAGGAATGAAAACCTGATTCTTTCTCCAGGTTCCTTAGCTGCAGGAGAGATCAAGGGTAAAATCAGACACTCAAAGCCATACCTATACGTAGATGCTGAACAGGAAAGTAATGGAGAAGGAGTCCTTACAACCATGACTTATCTTAACAGCTGTGCTATTTGGATATTTGGAGTGTAGTTTGTTATAATGCCTTCCTCTACTTTTATCCTCTTTTATAGTAAGAGCTAATTTCAAGTCCACAACTGTTCCAGAATTACCTGTCTTTTATAAAATAAAGCTGTACACATTAAGTCCATATCTCATTATTAAGCTGCAGCCCAAACTGTTACTGGTTTTATTCACAGAGGTAAATCAATTTCATACATGGGGGATAGATCAATATAATTTCTACAAAGCAAAAATATGAGAATTGATGAAGGTATTGATTACAGTTTTGTGACATTTATCTTCTTTTTTCTTCTTCCAGCAACAAAGACAACTGGACCTGCTAACCATCACCAATTCTGGTAAGTCCCTGGGATTTTATTTCCCTGGCTTTACTATCACCTCCGATCGACCCAACATGACACCACCTCGGCAAAGAAATAAACATAATTTGCTATGATCCTAAAGAAAAGCTCAATATCAGTAAACGCTCACAATCATTATAAGTTTTTTTTTTTTTTCTGTTTTAGAACTTGGTTTGATATTGATTGGAAATGATGAAACGTGCCAGCAAAACTATGAGACCCACTTAGAGACATTAAAAGGAAGAACATGCTGTTTTCTGGGTGCTGTGTGCACATATCTGCACAGTTGGACAGTGGAGTAAGAGCAGAGACAGCTTTGCTTTTGCTGTCAAAAGCCTTGCAGCAGGACCACCGCTGAGCTGTTGCTTCCTGATCTGGTTTTGGAACCTGTTTTAAGGAAGGCTGTCTATGGCTGTGATGTTATAAATGTCAAAAGATAGCTGATTTTTAAAGTCACAATGTGCACAGCATACATTTTGTGCTGTTGAAAGACTTTTTTTTTTTTTTTTTTTTTTTTTAACTTGACCTCTAATTTCAAACCTTTAACATGAATCTTTAGGTCTAGAAACTGGATTACAAGGATAGAGAACACCACAAATTATATTCTTTATCAAGGAAAGATGTGACTGTGATTTAAAACTCTAACTTGAGAGGTCACGTAGTGTCTTCTAATCTGAACTTAAAAACCTGCCTGGTATTGTCACAATTTTTGGAAAATCTTTCTTGGGAGCTGTACACTCTATGATATACATTAAAGCGTTATAGTATTCAATCAGCCACACTGTATAGCCAATCACTATCTTTTTAAAGACTATCATGTCGGATCAATTAAGTAAAGCTGTGAGTTAAAGATACTTTTACATCCAAATATGCATCTTTTAATTATTCTTTGACAAACCGACACAAAATGCTAAACGGCTGAAGATTTATTAAATGTGAGCTTCACTTATATTACTTTTGAAGCCAAACATAAATCACTCCAGCTGTAAGTTTGAAGAAGTTTCAGATGCATTTTGACAAATGATGTGCTGACAGCTAAAAGCAGGACATGTCAAAATGTAAATATTTATAAAGTGTAATAGTAATGTGCACATTATTCACTGAGAAAGGATTTCAGCTTTTTCCCAATTTTTCTGTGCTCAATGCCCATTATGATTCAACACACAAGCTATGGAATATATATATATATATATATATATATATATATATATATATATATATATATATATATATATATATATATATATATATATTTTAGTCGTTAGACTTTAGTTTTTCAAGAAGCAGTTTCAACTGCATACAATATGCATCTCAGAACAACACTATGCAGTCAGACATGCATATGGTGCCCTAAGTTTGACTGAAAGTACTGTAGCAGCATGTCACAAAGTAGCTGCTGCATTAGAAATCGTTGCCAGCCTCTTAGAGAGGCAGCTGTGCGAGCGAGGGATCACTGAGATAGAGAGTGGGAAGAAGTTTAGAGAAACAGATGGTAACTGGAAGGAAGATACCGAGACCCATATGTCTAAAGTATCTGGATGATCTAATATGCTTTGATTAGAATAATGCATATGTGAGGCTCACAGAGACCCAGTTAATTTAGCATGTTTACACTGCAGCTGTTCCTCAGGTCCAAAGCTGAGGCAACACTCAGCTGTGGCCTTGACTGTTTGGCAGAGGGCAACCAGAAAAACTGAGATTTGGCAAAGAATGAGATCAAAATAGAATCAAAACAAATAACTTAATCTCCAGTTGTGAAGGAGAAGGAAAAATCTCTTCCTCCTCTAACTGAGGTGGCTAAAATCATCCTACTTGTCAACTTTCTGTTAAATGACAGTTGGCTTAGAACTGATTTGAGCTTTGGTAATCTTAATTTACCTTCCCAGCTAAGTGATTTCCAAGCTTTGGTCTGATCATAGGCACAGTTTTGTCTTTTTCACTTATTGTTCTTTACATTCTCTTAACATAAGAAAAATACATGCAGAGTTTATTGAATATTTTTCTATTTTGCATTTTAAGAAATAGATATCCACAAAGGATTCATACATCTACTAGATTTAGATTTAAAATTATTTTCGAATCTTAGAGTGGCTATAAGCTAAGTAAGCTAAACACCAAATATAAATGAACAAAAAAAGCAGAGGAAACGGCTAAATACTGCTTTCAGCAGTGATAAAAATAGGCTATCTGTAATGCCAAGAGAGGTTCTACTATAAATTATTTGGAAAGGCATGCTATGTTTAAATTGAAGTGTGTGTGTGTGTGTGTGTGTGTGTGTGTGTGTGTGTGTGTGTGTGTGTGTGTGTGTGTGTGTGTGTGTGTGTGTGTGTGTGTGTGTGTGTGTGTGTATATATGTATATGTATATATATATATTCCTTCTTTTTTGGTCATCTTTTGAGAGATGCCCGTGTCATGTCCAAAAAGAGACCAACTTCTTTGAACGAAAATAATTTTATTTCTAAACTTGCCTAGGGTATTAATAATATTTGGCTTATTTGCAGTTTTGAGCTGCTGCACTTCAGAAAGGATGAGTCATATCAGAGGTGGTCCTGATCAAAGCATTTTCCTGCTAAGACGTATCAGAATCCGCTCCATGCTTTGAAGGAATCTAAATCTTTTTAAATGGATTGATAGAGTTTTGATAAACTTCTTTGAAAGGGCACTTCCTACTGTGTATGGCCAGGTGGTGACGATTTGGAGTTCTGGTAGTTCAGAAAGTTTTCTTTTAATGAGTAAACTGAGATTGACATGTCCTGGAACTGTTTGTCTTGCCTGTTTATGAGGTACTGATTTCACAGCAATAAGGGCGTCGTAGCTATCAAGCTGAAAGTGAAAGATTTTTATTTATCAAAAGGGAAGGTTACTATTATTGCAATTTTTTAAAGATGTTGTTGAAACATATGAATACAATTTCTATGATGTTGACCACAACATCAAGTTCACTAGAGAGGATGCCAATGACAACAACCTACCTTTTCTGGACTGTTTGGTGAGCATGAAAGGAGATGAAAACCTCAACATTGAATTGTATAGGAAATCCACTAACACAGACCAGTATCTTCTTTTTGACTCACACCACCCACTGGAACACAAACTTTCTGTCATCAGAACCTTACAACACCAGGCCGAGCATGTCCCTACTAAAACAGAAGCACAAAGAACAGAAAAACATCAAAGATGCTCTCCAAACCTGTGGATACCCAAGCTGCCTATTTGTCAAATAAGCAAGGAAATCCAAAAGAGACCAGTAAGCAGAAGATACCAGTAAGAAGATTAAACACAAAAACATCCATATCCCATATGTTGCTGGTGTCTCTGAAAAACTCTAGAGGATTTTCTCCAAACACAAATTCCCAGTACATTTCAGACCAAGCAAGACCCTTAGACAGAGGCCAGTGCATCGTAAAGATGAAACCCCCCAGACCTAAGATGAGCGAAGTGGTGTATGCAGTTCAATGCAGTGAGAAATGCACTGATCTTTATTTTGGAGAAACCAACCAACCTCTCCACAGACGCATGGCTCAACACAGACGGGCCACCTCCTCCGGATAAGACTTGGCTCTCCATATACACCTTATGGACAAAGGACATTCTTTTGAGGACCACGGTGTTCACATTTTGTACAAAGAGTGAAGGAAGCCATTTATGTGAAGGAAGCCATTTGTGTTAAGAGAGAAAACAATAACCTTAAACAGAGGGGGCACTTTTAGGTTTCATCTCTCAAAAGCCTAAAATGCAGCAACAGAGTTGATTCCTTTCTGCTATCATGACCAGATCGTGGTCAGATATTATCCAGAATGTCTTATGTTGAACACACGCCCAACTGGCTGTGTGTTAGAAGAGCAAATGAAAGTGTGAATAGAGCTTAAATCATGGTCAAACAGATAATTCTGCATATACATGGAATAAATTCACCACAACTTCCGTTCAAAATATGAGTTTATTAACAAAAATCCTTCAGTTTGTTAAAAACTGACTAAAACTAGTGAAATTAACCTTAACTACTATGTACAAGGAGGAAGGAAATAAATGGTTGAAAACCATATCACAGTTTAGGATAGATTTTCTGTTTGACAACCAAAGTTTATCTTGAAGAATTTGGGATGTGATAGAATTAGCTTTTCACTCATTTAAAGCGATTGGAATGATTTCAAACCAATTCACAATGCAAATACATGAGGTGAATAAATTATTTGGCCAAATTATTATATGTAATTAAACAATTTGCTTAATCAGGAACCAATAACCTTTATTTAAATGGTTCTATACTCTCTTTGAAATAGCTAGCAGCAAATAGACATGAGGATTCCATTAAATGACTTTTGATCATAATTTGGTTATCGAAATATATTAAGCATATGAGAAAACACATTAACACGTTTTATCATTGTTTAGACCCTTGGTGAAATAAAGCTTGTTTTAGCGCTAAACAAAACAGCTCAAACATATTACTGTAGCATAGCGTACCATGCGGTCCATCTTGTTAGTTTTGTCTTTAATCATCAGTAAACACATGAAATTATCAAAATCATCAGAAAACATATTGTTTAACATTTCAATCTGTCCCTAACAGTGCCAGACCTTATACTGTACCTCTGCCCATGTCCTTTATGGAAAGTTTGAATTTCCTCCAGCAGTTAGTAGCTAAGCATGGCAGGCTCACAGCAAGGTCCCACATAGCTCAAACCAAGGGAAAGGCTTCGTTAGGAGGAGTCTTTCACCTCCACTCTCTGTAACTTCTGAAACAGAGGCTACGTTCACACTGCAGGCCTTAATGCTCAATTCCGATTTTTTTGTGAAATCGGATTTTTTTGCGTGTCCGTTCACACTTCCAAGTATATGCGACTTGTATGTGATCTACTGTGTGAACTGAATGCGTCCAACCGAAGTGTCCCGCATGCGCACTCGAGGACGCGATGACGTCACACGTAGCAAGCGTCCTCAGTGTTTGCGGAAGTAAACATGACTCGTAATACCGCAGCGTATATTGCGTTCT